CAAGGTTTTTTAAATTGTTGCTGAAGCAGCACGTGACACATTATTTCCTGAAGAGGCTAAGTAAGCCATGCCAACAAGCCTACTAACCTAAAAAAGATGGTGGTCAAAGTATGGTGGACTTCTGACTTTTTTAGTAAAAGCTTATTTTTAAACAGTTTTGAAAAATATTTAAATTGGACTAGGATTTTATGAAGTCATTTGGCACAATTTAAGCTCTCTACTGGATAATTTGGAGGCTGCAGTGTTGTCTGGCCCTCTTTGCTATCTCTGCCTTAAAAGAGGTTTAGGGCAAATTTTTCAAAAAATATATTTTATATATATTTATATGTGTGTGTATCTCCTAGCCACTATCTGGCTGAACATTTGCAGGATTAATATCCTCTAAAGGAGCTACGATCTCTCCAGTTGCAGATGTTTGGATGGTTCCCCATTGCAGGCCACGGTTGAATCTTTTATGAAAGTTCCAATTACTTCAAATTTTGCTGCCTATGAATCACAAATTCAGATTAAATAATTGAATCTCATTTTCGTATTGGAACGTGGCTGATTTGTGCACCCATGTATTACATCCTCTTAACTGTGAGCTGAAATGTGCAGAAGAAATAAAAACTGAGGTATTACTGCCATCTAAATGAAGGCAAATTATACCATAAACAAAGCTTTTCTGGCAATGGTACTGCACTGCAGGAGTCTCTGTTCAGTTCCACAGACCTCCCCCACCCCCAACTCTGCCTAGTTTGAACTTTAGAAGTTCTCCTAAAGATATTTATTCCAAGAGAGTTTCTCTTTAACAACTACAGTTGGTTAAGATTAACCACTGTGACTACTTATTTACATGTTTTCTATAGATGGGGTTTTTTTTATTAGCGTATTATATACTCTCTTCTAGGACTCCATAACTAACTCATAGTGTAAATCTTAATCTAAATAATAATGTGATTTTGACAGTCACTCAGCATTTAGTATTTAAAGATATAATTTAGGAGTATAGTTTTAAACATACTGAGGAGTGAACCCCATTTAATAAAGTGGGACTATTTTTATGCATAGGATTGTATGTCTCTTATTCAAGGCTCATAGTCATTTTTTTTAAAATCTTAGTTTTATTTTAAAAAAATTCTAATGTGGCACATAATTTGATGATAGTTTCATTTTGCTTTTTAAATAATTGACTGAATGGCAAGGATGGGCAATTTTTTTTAGGACTGACAGGGAGAAGGTAAAAGTTATGTTGTTCTAATTGTGCTTATGTGTATATTTTACAACTATCGGATTTAAAGATATTTATCTTATTGTTAACAGTTCAAAACTGCTGTTAAGTAAACAGCCTCACTATAAAACAACCTGAGAACATCAAAGCAATGGAAACAAACAAAAATGTCAGCAGTATAACAGGAGCTTTTTCAAAAGGGCATAGCAGTACAGAATAACCCCAGCCAACATTTTAAAAAGCTATTTAAAAAAAAAACAGGAAAATTAAGCTTGACTGATTTCCCTTGGTAGGGCGTTCTAGAAGCTTAGTACAGCAATTGAAAAAATCTTATCACATCATTTGGTGCAACTGTAGTTCACTTAGCAGAATTGAAAATTGAACAGAAAGTATGACAAGGAGTAGTCTGTAATGTATGTAGGTCCTCTGTAGATTTAGGTCTTTGTAGGTTTTGTGTGACTTACACTGTATTTGTCTAACAGCAGTATTTTGGAGCAATTAAAATTTCTTGGCATTTATCAAGGGAAAGTCACCATCATACACATGATCATCATTTGGTAGAACAGCCCGAAGGCAACTAGAGGATAGATGATACTGGTTAAATGGTTGTTTGCAGGGAGAAAGAATAGACAGATGTAAATGTTCATAAGCTTTCATGTGAATTAGAACCCGACTTTTAAATCAGGTTATTTTATTCTCTTTGCAACCTGTTTTTTCTTTCCCAACTACTCAATTATAGAAATGGAGTTTCCCAATATTTTGTGGCCAGAGAGCACATTTGTAATTTTGCTAATGTGGACTCTTTTGCAAAATACTTGTTTGAATGGGCTTCTCCATTTATGGAATGGCTGCCAGTGAGGGTCACAGCCAGTTACAAAGCACTGATTGATGATAAAGGTATCTGCACTTTTATCATCCCTTTCCCCCTTCTCCACAGGATGTTCACTGCCACATTCACTACCATAGCCTTTTTCTAGGAAGGTATTCAAACTTCCCCCCCCCCCCAAAAAAAACCCCAGAAACAAAAAACCAGTGGCCCTGCTGCTGCTCATTATTTTTATTTTCTAGGAAATCTTGTAATGATGTTGGAGTTTGATACTTTGCCTTGCAACAAGCCAACCTAATTTTTTTAAAAATGTAAAGTCAGGTGGGATAGAGAGCCCGGCAGCATTACAGAAGGTATCTACATTGATACTTCTGGGTAATGATGACAATAATAATAACAATAAGAGTAACTAATAATAGCAGTAATAATAGCAACAGTAACCTTAATACCGATTATGATAACAATGTATACCTTGTTATTTCAATGTATACCTTGCCTATCTAACCAGGGAGCAGTCAAGGAGACTTATTAAAAAAAAAAAATTCACAATTAAAATATGGTAAAAACAGTTAAAATCAACAATTATTCAAGGATAAATTGAATACATTTATAAAGTGAAGTACTTTGGATTTTTTATTATTTTTACCTTAAAGAATTTAAGTGTGCTTTCTTTGTCATTGAAATCATTCCAGTCCATAAAGAGAATTGAGCTTGAGAATATCAGCTGCTTTGCTTTTCACAAAGCAAAGTGGTGCAGCCGAGAGGGCAGTGTTCTGCCCCCCTTGTAGATTTCCACACTTTTCTTTTCCCAACATTTTGAAAAGATGCTTCCATGTGCCATTGTAATATCTTGTGTTTTTGTAGCTATATTTGAAATTAACTCTACCACCACCATCACCATACAGAGCAAGTAGGCTGCAACCTTCCACGCATTTTCTGGAAAGCTGCAGAAACAACATCCTTAGTTCCATCTTCTCTAGGTATTTGAAAGAGTTTTTTTTTTTAATCCTTTCCTAATATTCTTTCTTAAAATGGGGAGAGGAAGGCATGTTCTCTGAGCTTGGTTATTGTCATGCAGACGTTTCATTACTAAGCTAGATAATATCATCAGTGCATGGCAGAGTGAAGTTTGCTGATTTTTGATATATAGTAGCTTGCCCTGTCAGTCTTGGTTGGGGTGTAGTTTCTTCTTTGAAATTCCTTGATTAGAGGTTTGTTTCTTCCCTGATTTTTTATTTGGTGGTGTTTCTTGCTTATCTGGGTGGTGGGTGCTGGGAGAAAATGCTCTGGGCTGTTCGTTTTCTTCCTTCACTTTTGGTTATGTCTTTTAAATGGTATGAGAAAGGGGTTTATCTCTTATGTTCAACCCTGGGCTACATATATTCTGTATTGGAGGAAGGCATGTATTGGAGTTGACAAAATGTATACAGTATTAGCTTTGCTTCTCATATTCTTGAAAAAAAAATAGGCAGCTCATATATGATCTGGAATTGTTTCTGTTTCAATATAATGAAATTTGAACATAAGTAAGAATATTATAGCATTACTGCTATATCCTATTCAGGAATACTTACCATTCTATTTATTGCCTGGATTTGAAAGCAAAGGAAATATTTGCTTTGCAGAATACAATAGTTCTGCAACTAGAAATATACAAAAAATGATAAAGGGGGAGGATCTTCAATTTCCCTAGGATTCCCAATTCACACTCTTCTTCAGTTATATGTTCTCCCATCTAAATGGGTAGAAAAATCTGCCCTGTTTGTTTTTCCTCCTAACTGGATTTTTATGTTTAGAAAAAAAGTCCTAGTCTACAATGAAAAAATATTGGCTGATATAAATGGACTGGGTATAATTCCATACAGTAAGTGAAGGAAAGTAATTGCACAGTAAGAGCCTCATTTGAAAGTATTTTTTAAACTACTGCTTAGAAAAAGTGTGAGCCTTCAGATGATGTTGACAGCTAGTGGTAAGAGCTGAATGGAAGATGCAGTCCTTCAGCATTAGAAGAGAATCTGTTCATTCCTGTCTTTAGTGGTAAATAGATGTAACATCTTTCATGCAGTTTCTGTGGTCTTTGATGGTAATGACTTACTCCATTTTTATAGCAGTGGCAAAAGTATACAAGTCACTTCTTGGAAAGAAAAGCTTTCTCAGCAACTGCTGTGTCTTCAGTGAGTCACAAATAATACATACTGTGTGTTCTTTTGCAGCTCTAGAAAATGACTGGCTGACAATTGTTTCTTTGTATTTAAGGTGTTTGGATTAGGGCCAAGGAGACTCAGATTTAACACTTCCTGCAGCCATGGGAATTCACTCTCTCTCAGCCCATACTACCTTACAGGGTTGCGGTTGTGGGGATAAAAGAAGGGAGATCTCCATGTAAGCCACCTTGAATTCTTGGAGAAAAGATGGATATAAATCAAATATATTAATACATAACTTGATACTGTTAATGAGTCCCATGAATTCTAACAAATGAACCTTAAGAGTCCTACAGTCTCTGAGATGTTAGATTGATAGCCAGGGACCCATCTTTGGAAAGAGAGAAGAGCTTTCTCTAGGATTTATATGTTGCAGGCCTCAGTGTGTGTGTGTGTGTGTGTGTGTGTGTGTGTGTGTGAATGACAGAGAGAAAGAGAGAACATGGGAGAGAGCACACTGATAATTTAAGTGCAATTTGCTAAACTGGGTACAGCTTTGGAATTGACCATAAGAATAGCTTACTGGGGGCCTGATAGAAGTTTGAATGTACTTCCTGTCTTATGGAAGTATGTTAGTCTCTCTTTTGCCCTGCTTGTGTATCTGTAAATAAAGCATATATTACAGAGACAACTTAAATATTTAGTGCTGTCACTTCAAACCTGAGTCCTACTTACACCTTGGAAAAGTGAGAAACACTTATTTACATGTTAATATAAAGATTAATATATAAATACATACTTTACTCTAAAGGGTCTTTACCTTAATCTGTGATCAGGTCCATATTCTTGGCACTTGCTCTGTACATTGTAAGTCCTTCTGACAAGGCAGGATCCATTTAAATGTACAGTATTACTAGTATTAGTTCTGAAGAAGTGTTTAAACTATTGTAACAGTTCTTACTGATTGCAGAGGTTGAAAGTGTTTACTTTTAGGGTTTGGTCATGAAGTGTGAATACAATCTCAAAATAGCATATCTCTACAAGAGACTTATAAATACAAAATTGCACTCAGACTAATATGAAAACATATCTGGGGCATATGTCAGAAGTTGAAAATGTTTTGTGAAAGTAGGTAGGAAGGGCTAATATTCCCTGGTAGTCTTTTGCAGCACTGTCCAATTTTTATGCCTATGATTTCACAGGTTGTAGTGCAGTGCAGTGTGAGAGAGATTTGTAGAAAAGTCAAAATGACAGGAGACATTTATAGCAAGCCATATGAAAGACTGGCTGAGCTGGGAAGTGCTAAAGCAGAAATCCTGAGAAGCCTTATCATGAAAATACGTTTAATGGGGAAATTAGTAAGAAAATTTAGCTTATAAATATAATAATTTAGCTTAAAATATAGTAACTAACAAAGCCTTCTGTTAACCACACATTTAGTAGACATAGGTAATCAGTAATTTCATGTGGGCTGGCAAGGGAAAGAAATATAATATGTTTTTCCTTTGCTGTTCTGCTGATGGTGAGTGAAAGTCCTTATTTATATATTCACAAGACTTTTAAGCCACTCCAGTCAAAGCCAACTCTGAGGTGTATACAATTCCCCATCTTCCTAAATCCTGATTTAAAAAAAGAATTAAGGAACTATATTTTATTTTTGGTCCACTGATTGTGGAATTCCTATCTTAGTTTATTATTATTATTTCAAATTAATCCACTGCAGGATTTATATTAATATGAATAATCTCTCTCAGACACACAGTAGTTAAGATGCTGGACTAGAAGCAGGGAGACCCAGACTTGTCTTTCCTTAGGTACGGAAGCTGGCTGGATGACTTTTCGCCAGTCACTCTTTCTCAGGTTTAAACTGGGAACTCAAACAACATCTATCTACCACCCTGCATTGAACCATTGTAGTAGATTACAATCCATAACATTCAATGAAAAGGCCTTCATCCTTGTAGTGGATTGATTTGGGATTATAATAATAATAACAAAAACTTTTTTTATAACTAGCTAAATCAATTAGTGACAAAGTCCATATTTCCCTGCTGGTTGTTTAGGAGGAAACATCCCTTTTCTCTATTCTGCATAGGTATGCAACCTGCTAGCTGACTTTTTTGCAGGGCAGACTAGTAGTAGAAATATTTGGCATTTGAAAGAGAAAAGAAATATATAAAGAAGTTACTTCCAACTTGCATCACAAGTATAAACAAATTTAGTAACTCTTCATCCTCTCTAAAGTTACAAACATTAATATCTTCATCCCATATCCCATCTCTTATTTATAAACAAATTCATTATCTTTTCAGTCCTGATGTCAGCAGAAAGTCCATGAAGGGTTGCCAGAAGTAACAACATTTTTTTTAACCTTGACAAAATAAACCAACTTTATATTCCTTCCTTTTACTTCTAATAGTCTTAAT